TTATTTGTTCAATTACTTATGGAATATATGAAATGTATTGATATCATCAATATTTATTCTATATGGATTGTAATCCAATACTATTTTGTTGCTCAGATGGTTCCAGTTTTGGCTACTGGGAGTTCTTTTAGGCCCTTACATAGGCTTTTATTCTTTTTTTTTTTTTTTTTTTTGTACCAAAGATTGAACCCAGAGCTCTCTTTCTTTCTTTCTTTTTTTGTGGGAGGGGGTACTAGGAATTGAACTCAGGGGCACTCAACCATTGAGCCACATCCCCAGCCCTATTTATTTAGAGATAGGGTCTCACTGAGTTGCTTAGCATCTCACAGTTGCTGAGGCTGGCTTTGAACCTGTGATCCTCCTGTCTCAGCCTCCCAAACTGCTGGGATTACAAGAGTGTACCACTGTGCCCAGCCCCTGGGGCTTTTAACCACTGCCTTTTTATTTTTTATTTGGAGTCAGGGTCTCTCTAAATTACTAAGACAGGGTCTCTAATCCTGAGTTGCTGGGATTACAGGTATGTGTCATTGCACCCTGCTCTATTCCTTTTTTAACATTTCCACAAGATACTACACACAGAATGATATTTTTTCCCCCTGGAATCTTTCCCTTCTCCAATGAGCTCCGGTTCCTTTTGTTAGAACCCAAGATCTGGGTGCAAGGGTGCTCACTGCTACTGAGGTGTCATTGCATCAAAGCTTTCTTGGTAGACAAGGTTGGGAAATATATGTAGTCTACCCCATGCATATATACCCAACTATATTTATTTCCTCATTATCTATATGGATATGTATTAAAAAAAAATGAATTCCCATAGAACCTCCAATTCTAATCCCCAAGTCTCAAATTTCATCTTAGCTTTTGTCTTGCCATATTCTTAATTTCTTTCTCTGAAAGTGAGAAACTTGGCTCTCTTACAGTTTGTTTACCTGTTTGTTCAATTGCAGAATAAATATACAGTTACTGAATTGCTGGCCTCAGCCTCTCTCCCCTGACTCTACTTTGTCCCTTATAAGCCTCTCCTGGTCATGCTGTCTGTACGTGGTGGCCCAGCATCTCCAACCTTACATCCTCCCTACCTAACAGCCCTTGCAGAAAGAGTGTTTCTTTTCTCTTTCCTGGGAGTTCCAGAAAAAGTTCTAAGATGGGTTCTTATCCAATTGATTGGGTTCTATGCTTGTCCCTGATCTATGTACAGGGGCCTGGGCCTAAAATAACCTGATTGGTTAGACCTAAGGTATGTGCTCATCCTAGAGTCTCGGAGGCAGTGACTGTCCCACCTAAGCTGTGGAGAAGGGTATAGCTGAAAGCTCATTATCTAAAGAAAAATGATAGTTCCAGTATCAGGAGAAAGGGAAATGATTCTGTGCAGGGCAGGGTCATGCATGTGCACTGTTCCATCCGGGGGTCCCGTGGTGTAGCAGCGCTAATTGGTCGTGGAGCCTGATTGTGGGGCATCTGGGGTGGGGAGCAGGAGAAGAGAAGGCAATGTTGCCTAGATGCAGCTAGATTAAAAAATGTATGTACAGTTGATATGAAGAAGAATGCTGCTTCAGTTTCACAAGAATTATTGCCAGGCTTGTTAGCTGGAATTAATTTAAGAGGAAATAAAAAGATGCTCCATATCTTGACTGCTTTACATTCACTTGCATTCTGAAACTCTATGACATGACCTCTGGACTCTGTTTAGTTCCAACAGGTCACTCTACCCAAGATTTGGGTAGCTGCCACCTTGTGGCCAGCATTGTCCCGTGGGAGAGGAGGGGCCAGTTGGGCCTTCCCAAGTTGTTGCTGGAAGATGTCCAAAGTAATCTTTTCCCATTATTAATAAAATGACTATAGCTTAAAGTTTCCATATAGTAGAAAAAGTTAGAATTTCAATCTGTTTTTTCAAGATTTGGAAGGCATAGAGAAGGGGCGGGGTGCAGTGGTACACACCTGTAGTCCCAGCTGTTTGAGAGTCTGAGGCAGGAGGATGGGCTGAGCCCGGGTGTTTGAGACCAGTCTGGACAACATAGCAAGACCCTGTCAGCTGGGCATGGTGGCGTGCCGCTGTAATGCCAGCAGCTTGGGAGGCTGAGGCAGGAGGATCCTGAATTCAACCCTATCCAGTTTCAACAACTTAGCAACTCATTGAGACCCTTTCTCTAATAAAAAAAAAAAAAAAAAAAGAGGGGGGGGGAGATGGGATGTAGCTTAGTGATTGAGCACCACCCCTGGGTTAAACCCACAGTACAAAAAAAAAAAAAAAAAAAAGACTCTGACTCTGTCAAACAAAAAAACCGTAGAGGAACATTTTTAAGTAAGTTTTTTTTTTTTTTTTTTTTTTTTTGGTGGTGCCAGGGTTCAATCCTAGGGCCTCACATATTGGCAATAGTCTATTACTGAACCACATCTCTAGTCCCTGACATATAGTTCTTTAGTTTGGGGCTGTGATTTTTTTCTAACTCTTTCCTTCATGCCAAAATTTTTTAGGGATTTTACTTGCTCTCGTCTCTAGTCCCAAAAAGAAACCAGGTGTTTCCTTTAGTTAGCCACCTGTCCCAAATTCTTGAGAGTTCCAGGGGAAAACCTGGGTCTCTGTTAGCCTCATTCTGGGTAGGAATAGTATTTTCCTTGTCATGTTTTGTAGCCTTGCTACCTGCCGGCTGTCACTCCCACCTAATTAATAAGTTATTTACATAGAAAAAAATTTCTTTAAACATTACATTTCATTAATCGAATCTTCTGCTAAAGATCGTATTTCAACAAGACTTTGTTACTCCCAGCCTTTTCAAAAAGTCATCTGTATCTTTAAAGAGGGCTGGCCCTTTTTCCCTTCTGAGATATTAGAGTGTATCTATAATAGAATACAACAGTTTTTTATGCAGCTACCCAGTGGTTTAATCACAATGCAGAAACAACATTGCTAATCTGAACAATCTACATGGATGACAACTCATTGAAATAACTATCAATTAACAACATAATTGTCAGTTATAAATTGCCAACGTTAAAATAGGCAATTGAAACTTCTGTGAGGCTTTTGTGCTCCACCACCCCTCTTTCTTCTTTAAAGGGTGTAGATATAGGGCAGGGGCCTGTGTTGAAAAGTTTAAACTGATGACCAAGTTAATTGTTATTTTAATTACTGGGTCATCTTTCTTATGGATCATTCTGAAGTGAAAACAGTGGTGCTAGTCATAAAATTCCACTCCAGGTTTGGCAGGTCAACCTTGCAATTGCAATCCCAGGTCTACATTCTCTTTAATCAGGGCCATTGTAGACAGAGCATGACACTGAGTTCTCTCCTATTTTGTTTGGTCAAGATCATGTCAAAGAAAACCCAGACTCTGGATGAAAGCATAGTCCATTTTGTAAAGCAACTAAAAAAAAAAAAAAAAAAAAAACCAACTTAGCTGAATTTTGTCAGGATAATGGTCTCAGTGTCTCTTCACTATTTCAAAAAACAAAAACAAAAACAAAAAAACAAAAAACAAAACCACCCTGACCTCAGGCCTAGTGAGTAAGAGAGCACAAAGAGCAGAAAGAAAAGAAGAAAAGAATTAGTATTCAGTGATAGAAAGAAAAGCATCTTGAAAATAAAAAATGCAATCATCACCTTTGCAATTACATGTCTCTCACTTGGCTGCCAGGTGTCAAGGTGGAACCAGGCTGCTGGGGATGCAGGATCACCTGCAGGGGGAATTTTTTAAAACTAGGACTTCAGTTTATACTTGGGCACTAAATTTCACTGTGCAAAATTTGGCGCTACCAGCCAAGATCCGAGCCAACTAAAATAGGAATTATGATGCAAACTCAGCCTATTCTTTTGCATCATCATTGAACTGCATAGTACCAGGTATTACTTCTCCATTTGAAGAGAAAGTTTGACTCAGAACTTAAAACAAATAACTACCTCCTTCCTTGGGGGCATTGGAATGGAATGGAAAGACAATAGACTTTTTCACTAGACCTTGGGAAAGGAAAGAGCAGTGCTGCGAGTATGGGAATGTGGCTTCCTTTGTTGGATCTGTAACTTCTTTAACTACCTTTAAAAGGAGAGCAGGGAACTGGGAGTTGTGGTGATTCCAGCTACTTAAGAGGTTGAGGTGGGAGCATTGCAAATTGGAGGTCAGCCTCAGACTCTTAGATATTATGAATTGAATTTAAAGAGATAATTTCATTGGCCTAAAAATATATTTTTTTAAAGATAGAGAGAGAGAGAGAGGAGAATTTTTTAATATTTATTTTTTAGTTCTCAGTGGACACAACATCTTTGTATGTGGTGCTGAGGATCAAACCTGGGCCGCACGCATGCCAGGCGAGCGCGCTACCATTTGAGCCACATCCCCAGCCCCATAAAAAAAATATATATATATATATATATATATATTTTTTAAGTTAATGAAATGGTTCTGCTTTTTTGATCTTAATAAAGGGGAATTTAAATTTTAAAAAATGTTAAGTCATCAATTAGTGTTTACACTTTAAAATTCACTTTAAATTCGGTGGACTGTATTGTTACTATGCATAATAACTTTCTTAACCATAAACTGCTGAATACAGCTTTTCTAAGCAACTGGGTCAGTGCTGTTTATAATTTAATAAGTTTTGCAAATCAAGTGTAACATATACAGGTGGCATTTAATAACAGTATAGCAAATATCCTTTGTCTTTCCCGCATGGTATGGTTACTTCATTTGACTGTGTGGAGTATAGTCAGCACTCCAAAGAGCACAAGAAACCGCTATTATCTTTTTTTTTAATTATTTTTTTAGTTGTAGTTGGACTCAATACCTTTATTTTACTTATTTATTTTTATGTGGTGCTGAGGATTAAACCTAGGGCCTTGAACATGCTATGTGAGTGCTCTACCATTGAGCCACAAACCCAGCCCCTCTGTTATCTTAATTTAAATAGTCATATCATACTTGGAGGTTTTTCTGCTCATTGGTTTAAGGTGGGTGGGTAGGGTGCCAAATGACAATTATCTAATGTTGTGCATATTTTCCTTCAAGTGCTTCCCTGAGCCACATGACTTGCTTGTGGGGTTTACCTTGGAGCGTCTAGACATCTATCTATATGCTCCTCCAGCCGTGTGGGCGATGCTCTTCACCTTGTGGCTTTGGCCCTTCAAAGGTTACATTTGCTGCATGGAAGAGCAGTTGGCTTTGCCGATAGGGAATGTCTCATTGCACCCCTTTTCCACGCCATCTGTCTGACCTGGATCCATTCCAAACACCACGGCTTTGCTGGCAGAATGGTCTTCCTGCTACAGAAGTTTTGTAATCTGCTAATTGACAGGGTAAGGAAAATTTATATTTGGGTTACAGCTGAAAAGTTGGATGTTTCTTTGATGGGGCTTTAAATACTGACATATGCTGCACTGGTTTTTGATTCTAGGAATCCGTGTTTGTGCTTGGTCACGCGCTCTCCCCTGTGTTCTCTGCCTCATTGAGAGTATGGCATCCTTTGGAGAAGAACATCAATATGATCTACCAGGGAATTATCCTCTACTTAGTTTACTCATTAAGCAATGATTTTATTATTATTATCTCTTCATAGTACGAGACAGATGGCAAAGAAGGAGTTTGCTTTATTGAACAAGATGTGGTATTAGGCATGGCAAATCTCACCCAATGGTTATTACCTTCAGTAGTTGTCAGTCTAATAGGCCTTTGTACAGGGCTTGGTTCTATATTTAGCTCTTAAGTTAAGGGCAAAGCTGTTATCAATTCTTTTTTTTTTTTTTTCCTTCTTCTTCTTCTCTCTCCTGCATATAGGTGGAGGGCAGAAGAATTCTAGAGAAGCAAGTTTCATTAAAATCATGCTGTTTAAGATAACATTTATGGTTGTCCTCATCTTGAAATCATGCTTTAAAGCTTAGTAGGAGCAATCCCCATTTAAGTGAGTGTGGTCCTGCCTAGGGATTTGTATCCATGTCCCTAAGGTGAGGTCTTCTGCCCAGGAACCACATGTACATGTTGCAAGTGGTGCATGAGTGTGGTGTGATATTGTGCCTCTGGACTCCACCAGCCCCTCTCTCAGTTGCAGCCCCTCAACCTGCCCTCGAACAACAATTGGCAGAAGGAAAGATGAGAATGAAAGAGAATTTCTTCCATCTTCCATACCTTTGAAAACTTCAAAGTTGTTCCCAATCTGGTTCTGATGATCCATGTCTCAGTGCAAAGCATACATAAAGGTCTGAAATCTGCACACTGATCAGAAATAGTTTTGGAAAGTCAGATTTAATCCCATGAGCCAAATGATCACTACCAACAGCCATCAGGGAAAACCAAAGTCCACAGCAAATTTTAATTTGGCAAATGCATAAAAGGTTCAAAAGAGCAGAGGTCTCATTTACATTCCTCCCTCTTATATGGGATTTTCTTCTATATTAGTAATTAAAGGGTGCAGGCTGGAGAGCGCAACTATATCGCATAATAGCCATCGGGAACACACTAACAACTTCCTTGAAGTAACGCACACTAGGGTGTTTATGGTTCAATGTCACATAGACTCTCTTTGATCTAAATTAGGATTCATTGGCAAACTCACAATAGGCTCCACATGTACCCCTCTCAACCTCTTTCTTTTAATCATGGAAATTAGAGATGGAAAATATCCATTAAGTCACTTAGTCCATTTCCCTGCCAGGGTGAAATTGTTGCCTGTGATATGTGGGTAGTGCTTGGTCCAGCTTAAATGTAAATGTCTCAGGGGACATGCAGGCTCCTGATTTTATAATTTTCTTCTCTTCCCTTAAAATTCAGAGGGGGAAGAAATAGAAACCAGAGGTAGAAGTTTCCTCCCTTCCTATGACTATGACTTGGAGGTAATGGTGGTGGGGTGGGCAAATGTGCCCACCAGGGTATCAGTGCTCTGGAAACCACACCTTTCCCTTGGGCAATTCCATTACTCAAAAAGTGCAGAGAGAAATGCAACCAGTGTCCCCAACCCTATTCCTCTTCAGCTCAGTGGAATGATCGATCTGGATTCCTGAATGTTTCCTGTCAACTTGAGTGAGTAAGCACTCCAGGTTTGGTGAGGATGAGGCCCACGAGGGGAGAAACTGCCTCTTTAGGTTCCCTGTTGACTAGCCACAAACTGCACAGGCCTCCTGATTGGAGGATGAAGTCACTGATTTAGTGTGAGCTCACGATTGGACCATTGCCTATCTTATTCTGAGTGGCCCAATATTTTTAGACTTTGAGCATTTGGCATTGAAAGAAATGTGTGTCATTGCACAATGAATGCTCTCCCTGACACATGTTCAGCAACAGAAGGAAGCCTCTCGCTCAGCATCTGCCTACATCTGCAGCTGTGGAGGTTAGTTCTGTGGAAAAGTTGCAAAACCCACTGACCGTTTCTCTAGTGGGATCTTTTTTTTTTTTTTTTTTAATATTTATTTATTTTTAGTTGGCGGACACAACATCTTTGTTGGTATGTGGTGCTGAGGATCGAACCCGGGCCGCACGCATGCCAGGCGAGCGCGCTACCGCTTGAGCCACATC